CCCTTAGTTACTGACTTGTGGATCCAGAACACAGCTGGACCTCCAGCCCAAAGCTTTCTACCAGGAAAAAAAAAAAGGAAAATAAAATCTCAATTTCCTTTGGGAAAATATCCCCCTGGACACACCTGTATTACACAAAAGCAGTTTTTTACAACAATCCACTTTTTATTCCCAGTGTCAGAAAAGAACATAATGACCTGGTTCTGCACATGGGAGCAGGATGGAGGAGAGGGAAAGTATTTCACAGCAGAGAAACAACAACCACAGCTGAGATGACCTTCAGCAGGAAGAAATAATGTCCAAATCTTGGTGTTTATTGAAAACGGTGCCTTCCTTGCTCTGGGCACACACACAGACATGTGGCTGTGCTGGAAGCCAAGCAGCTATTCCTGAGGGCAGGCATTTGAAGGGCATTCCACGATAAGGCTGCTGCTGGAGTGGAGCTTTCTCTGAGCTCTGAGCACAGGGCTGAACCCCACCTCAGAAATTCAAGTTTTGTTTTCAAAAGCTCCCTCAGATTAAGCCCTCACTGGCTCCAGGAGGCAGAAGGCAAGCCCACTCCTGCAATACTCAGAGCTGTAAACTCTCATTTTAAACCACTCCCTCCCCTTTATTCAACAAAGTTAGCGAAGTAATATTTAGAAAACTCATCTACAAGGATCATTGTTTGCAGCAAACTTTGAAGAGGAAAGAGAAATAATTCTGATGCTTTTTTGTGAACATAGCAGCAGAAGCAGGAGTAAGCTGGAGCTACAGGGCTAACTCTGAAAAGCAAATTTCTTTGCTATTAGGAGAATCTCATGACTTGAACGTTCAACTGCACCTAAAACTGAAGGTATGGTTAATTTTCAAAACAATGACATGAGTAATACTTTACATTTATGGAAAATCTTTTCCCCAGCAGCTGTAAAGCTCCTCATGAGCACTGATTAACAAATCACAACTAAATATACACCTCACACAGAACAAAGGTAACAGCTGAGTTTATTAAAGCAGATGTTCACTGCACCCAAACTGAGATTCGAGGGCCTGATTTTTAATCAATATCCTAAAATACCACTGAACCAAGAAGCCTTGAACTGATCACTGCCTCAATTTTTTGGAGGAACAGGGACTGAATTCAGGTCTTTCAACAGCTGTGAGCATCAACTTGTCTTTGGGAGCAAGCTGTCAAGGTGCAAATATTAACTGTGGGTTTTGCTTTCTTGCTGCAAAGGTTGGGCTCTGAACACAAATGCTAACACTGAATAGCTTGCTTAGATTAGATTAAAAATGTAAGGGAAAACACTTCTTTACACTTAGCTCCTGCTTTAGCACAAAATATAACCTGGGTGGGACACACCAGGTCAATATTTAGATTTTGTGATAATCCAAATCTGCCTGGAAGAGTAAGAAAAACTTGTCTATCTTTGACAGTTTTTGATCTGTGGTCTACACAAAGTTTATTTGAAACTAAAATAACCCCAAAACATGCAGGTAAACCTCACAACATATTCCCTGAACAGCTGCTTGCAGGGATGCTTTTAGTCTTGCCTGTTCTGAGGCTTGAAGCAGCAGCTTTCCGTGTTTCAAAGAAAGGGAGGAAAAACTGTGTAGATCCATCGCAGCTTGGGAATTCCCGTGTTTCCATCACCCTGTGCCTGCTTCCTACACCTGAGAGGCGCCCCAGGAGCTGTGTGTGTGTGTGTGAGCACCTCGGGCACCGCTGCACACAGAAATGCCAATCTCTGCACCCCAAAACTTGTGGGATGTGCCTCTCTGTGTGCCCTGGCACCGGGAGAGGGGCGCAGATCCCAGCTCCCACGGCAACGCGGAAACACCAGCCGTGACTCCCAAGGGGATCCTACGAGCGGCCGTGAAAGGTGAAGGCAGGAAGATGTGGGGATGTGCAGCCACGCAGCCCAGCCCTGGGCGAACGCGGATTTTGGGCTGTGCACGCTGACAGGATCCGCCGCTGGCTGCGCACCCTGTTGCTCGGAGGAGTTGCGATGCGGAGCGGCCGCACGCCCTGATCCTGGAGGGACAGCTCGGTGCGAGCACCCAGGTATTTAAACGCCGGGCACAGGGCGGCTGGATGCCCCGACAGCCGCGGGGTGCCTGCTCCGTGCGCGGTGTCCATGCGGGGCTGAGGCGGCGGTGCAGGGAACGGCTCTCGCTGCCCCGAGCCCGGGCACCGGCGGCCGCCTCGCCCGGCGGGTCAGCGGCGCGGCCACGCTCCCACCCAGGGGCGGACTGGGAGGAGGGAAGGAAGGGGCCGGCCTTGCGGCCCGTGACCTTGAGGGACACCCCGCCGCCTCGCTCTCCCCGCCCCGGGCCCGGCCGCTGCCCCGCGAGCGGGGCGCCATTTCCAGCCTGGCAAGGGGACGCTCTGCGCGGCGGGGCGCCGGGTGGCTCGGGCGGCGCCGGCTCCGCGTGCAGCTTCCCCCGGCGGCCCCGTCCCGCCCGCCTCGCCCCCTCAGGGCTCACCTGAGGGTCAGCCCGGCGCCGGGCTGCAGGCGCGGCACGGCGGGCGCTCCCGCCAGGCTCCCCCGCAGCAGCACTCGCGCCGCCATCTTGCTCCCGCCGCCTCCCTCCTGGGCCGGGGGCTGCGGCCACGCCCCCCGGCGGGCAGCGCCGCCTGCGCATGCGCGGCCGTGGCGGCTCCGGGACCCCCTCACGGCCCCACAGCGAGGGGGGCACCCCCAGGGCTCGGTTTGGGGGGGGAACCAAGTGTAGTTTAGGGGGACCCTGCCCCGGTTTGGGGACCGCTACTTAGATATTGGGGACCCAGCTCTAGTTTTGGGGTCCCCCAGCCTCGGTTTGGAGAACTAGGTCGGATTGAGGAGGACCCTGCCCCGGTTCGGGAACACCTAATCAGACGTAGAGGGACCCCAGCCCCGGTTTGAGGAGATCTAGCGGCATTTGGGGGACCCCAGCCACAGTTCTGGAGGATTCCCCAGCCTGGTTTAGGGGTACCCAAGCTCGACTTTGGGGAGGAGCCCGTTTGGATTTAGCGAGACCCCCAAGCCCCGGTTTTGAGAGACTCCAGCCCCAGTTTGTGGGGACCCTGGGCCCAGTTTGGGGACCCCCAGTCAGATTTAGGGGGATCACAGCCCCAGTTTTGGGAATTCCAGCCCTGGTTTTAGGGGAGCCAGTTGGATTTAGGGACCCCCAGCCCCAGTTTGTTGCTCTCCCAGTACATTTTTCACTCGCTGGCAGCTGAAGGGATTTCCTCACGCTGCTCTGCTGTACTCAGAGATATTTTGGCTGAGGAGGAGGTGTGTGCTGGCATCAATCCTTAAATCACTTCAAATTAAGGGTAAAGTGGTAATTAGGGTAATAATTAAAGGGCAGTTCTAAAAGCAACAAGCCAATAAACACAGAAAGCAGTCAGTGACTAATCCTTATCATTTCACATAACACCTATAATGATTCTATCTTGGCCCTATAAACTTTCCCTTCCCATTTTATGATTTTTCTATCAGCACTTTCCGAGAGTAATCCAGAAGATAACACATATGATGTGCTTTAACATCACAAAAGCACAATCTGTTTAAAACAATTTAACCTACAATTGCCATCACTCTATTAAATAAGAGTCTGATATGTAATTTGGTTTTAGTCACATTTTGATCTGACAGCATGGCAAGTTGTTGAGCAACCCTCCCAGAGCCTACACTGGAAAAATTATAACCTTCTGTGATGAATCAATCTTATAGGAAAAAATATGGCATTTTCACAGCTACTCAAGGGGAATTACAAGACAAAATAATATTAACTCCCCTAATTAGATGTAGACTGTAGATGCAACTGATTAAGCAAACAGGAAACCTTTCCTATTTTTTATAATTATCTAGTTATTAGAACACTTACATCCCATATATGAGGGTCAAGTTCTGCTTGGCTACAACTTCAGTGCATTTCCTACAGCCCAGGACCAAATTCTATCCTGTGTAATCAAGTTCTCTCAATCCCTGCTTGGATGAAGTTTCACATTTTGCATTCACCTGGGCAGGAATCAGAGCTCAGGTTTTTCCTTTCCTTTGATCAGCCAGCTCCAGTTCCTGAGGAATTTACATAAACCTAAACCTGCGCCACAAACAACAAGAAAAACCCTACAGCCACATGTTTGAGGCAATTCCTCAACCTCAGAGCCCGTGCCAACAGAATTTTACACAGAGACTTCTCAGTGAAAGTTTCTTGACATTCCACACGAACACTGGCATTCAAAGAGCAGCATTTTTTGCTTTGAAGCACCAAAGGAACTTCAAGTTTCCCATTCTTGCTGTCCCAAATACTTTGCTGAGTTCAGTCAGGCCTTTTAGGCAGCCAGAACTGATTTTGTGCAGGAAGTTAAAGGGCAAATGATCTTTAACAATCTGACAACAGCAGAAAACACAACTGGAAGCTACTCAGTTGCTTAAAGTGAGATATTTTAGGTCACAGAATAAGATTTTAGATCTGGTTTTGATTCTGACACTTTGGAAAGGATTTCTCACAGCTCTCATATCCCACTCTCCCCTCCCACACCTACAAATTTTGAGGCAGATGCCCTTTTAGATCCAAAGTCAGCACATGAGGCTGCTGCAACAGCTGCAGGCTCTCAGCTTGCTGCATGCCTGGAGGAGAGGACACGAGATCCCCAGAGCTGTACCAGGATAAAGTCATCTTTCATCACTAACTGCTCTGGCCTTCACTCCACATTAAAGCATGCAGCAAACCAGCCCCTCTAGCTGCCCAAAATGTGTTATTTTAATTAGCTTTTCTGATGAGACTAAATCTAATCACTTTTAGGCTGTGTATTCCCATCAGCTCCCATGTCCTGCTGGCAGCTCAGTGAGATCCAGCTCTCCCAGAATGAAATCCTGCCTTTGGTCAGGGGACAGAGCCAGCCACACTAAGCTGCCCAAAGCTTTGATTCTCACCCTCTGCCACTCTAAAGGCAAAGGGCTGTGTTTTTGTTAGAGTGTGGAAGTCAGAAGGCACTGTAAGAGGAAATAAGGACACAAGCATGCAGCTGGTTTTAAAATTCTACACTTCCTTTCAAAAGCTTTAATAGCATCATTTCCAGTAACCCTACAAACCACAAAAGACTGACTGAAATACAGAACAACCAAATAATATAATGATCCTCCCACTAAAATTAAACACCACACAGTTGTAGTCTTGTCTTAACATAGAGAGGCCATTCCAGGAGGGCAGCTGCCTTTGGGAACTGTCACTGGGGCAAAACTACAGGCAACAAAATGAAGTGTGAACACTAAACTTGCATTTTTCTCTGCATTTTCATTCAAAGCTCCAGGTGCCCATCAATCTGCAACATCTCTTTGCATAAGCAACTACATGTACTATTTATTTTGACTACAAATTTCACTGGAACATTTAACATATCACAGCAGGGCCTCAAATATCCCTGACAGAGACACAAAAGCCGGAAGCCCTCTGCTTAAAGTATTTCCCCCACTATTTGTCTGTTGAACAAACTTTAAGTTCCTGAAGTTTCTCACTTAGATAGGTGGTATCTGCCTCGGTGAGATTTTCTGAATCTGACAGGTTTTCCAGGAATCTGGTTCCTGCACAGGGCTTTCCTGTGATGGGATCTATGACATTGCCAACCTTGAACACAATTTCAGCCAGTTCGTGTTTCACGTGTTTGCTCCTTCGCTCAGGCAGAGCTTTCAGAAGAACAATGTCTCCAACAACACACTGCTGCAGGGGGTCATGGGCAAAATAGGTTTTTCTTTTGTTAAAGAACTGTAAAAGGAACAAAAAAAAAAAAAAAAAAAAAAGAAACCTTGGTATTATATTTCAAAGTTACGTGATGGGTAAATATATAATGAATGTAAAATAAATAAATTTCACTAAAGTCTTATGTATGTTTTAAAGTGAGATTCAGTTTGGATCATGAAGAGAAATGCAACTGTGCACTCTACAGGTTCTCCACAGGCAGCACAGCACTGCCCTTCCCAATCTCTTGCCAGGATAGTGTTGCCAACTGAGCCTAGAGGAAAGGAGATGGGGAAGAAAAAGCTCTGAAATCTATATTTCAAAGTTTTTTATGTGAGAGTTTTCTTGCTGAAATAATTTTTTTCACATAAAAAGTATTTTTTTTTCGTATTAGAACAGCAGAATTCAGAGTCCTTTATTAAATAAATTAGGTTAAGAAATAAAGGTTCTTCTACTGGATAAAACAGACATGGGCTCCACAAGACCCATTTTCCAATCCTGACTCTACACTTAACCTTTTGGTCACCAAAATCAACTTATTCTACCTCCATGTACCACTGTTTCTCTATTTAAATTTGAGAAAATACAATTTTTAACCTTCCTGTTTGAAGTGCATCAATAAGGGCTAAATCCAAGATCACAGAAATGTTACAATTATACATGCAGAAAAAACAGCTATAAAATTTATTGTACAAGTGACTAATAAACTGTCAAGTCTCCAAAGCACGCTCCACATGGACATGAAAAATTAAATCTAAGTGTGAAACAACAAAAGCTTACCGTCCCAAAAAGATCAAATGAAGTGCATTAACAAGGCACTTCAAAGAAATACATTTAGCAGGTAATTTGTAAGTCCTCACCACTCACTGCTTTTCATCCTTAAGGAGTTTGATTTGTAAAGAGTCATCAAAACTTTTAAGAGTTGAATCAGCAGAACATTTCTCCACAAAATACAAAACCCAGCAGGCAGGAGAAGCTGTTCACTGGTGTTACCTTTAGCAAGTAGGGATCCAGCACGAGCCTGGTCACTCTCACTTTGGCAGTTTTCTGCATTTTGGTCCCAATGACTTTCCCCACTATCCATTTTGCATGGACAGCTCCACGTGGGACAGACATTGTTCAGTTATGGTCATGCAGTGCCTGGCAGCAAGAAAAGCAGATGTGTTACTGTAACAAAGTAAAAAACATCAACGCTTTCTGACCAATACCAAAAATTTCCTTATTTTAGACTAACAGCTTCATTAGGTCTTTTTGTTGGAAGAACAATTCAAAACTCCATGTATTGCACTAGCTCAGCCTTTTTGACAATATAGAAGGGATGGCACTGTGTCCTTGCTATCAGTAAAAGCTCCTTCAGGACAGCAGGAAAACTGGACAGAACAGCATGAGGACAAGACCTTACCCCAGAAAAAATGAATCAGCCCAATTGTCACTAACACAATAAAGTGTAGCTGTGGAAATTATTCATTGAATAATGAATTACACACACGCCAGCAGCTGTTTTGGCTGGAAACCTGTTCATCAGAACAGAGAGCACCCAAACAAGGGAGCAGCCTACAGCTTTTGTTCAAAGTCTTTCCTTGTGTGCCTCTCATTACCAGCTGAGCTGACGGAACCCAAGGAAGGTAATGAGCTTCTCAAGCCAGAAATGACACATCAAAGAGCTGTCTGATCCATAGTACATGGGTTTGCTTTTGAGTTCTTTCCTGCAAGTAAATTATATTCCATTACCTTATTTGGTTTAATTAGGGAGAGCTTTCTGTACCACTCTTGCAAGAGTCAGGGGAAAAGCCAACAGAAGACTCGAATCAATATAAAACTAATGGAGATTAATGACCATTTTCTCTCCCACTCAGATCCCTTGTTAAGCACAACCAACACCTGTGAACTCTCCATGCCCCCCAATTTGTAAGACACTCGCTTTGATGTCCCAACACATCAAAAGCAGACTTTAGGGATACAGGGACACACCATAGGATGAAAGCTTCAGCAAACACTCGGGGGCTGCTTTTCCCACGCCTGACTCAGCCGTGGGCGCTCAGGGCTGGAAGGAATCAGCGTGGGGGGGGGCCCCCCTGTACCCCACGGCCAAACACCCCACGCAGCCAGGCGTGTGCAGCACGGGCAACACCCACCGAGCACCGGCAGGCAGGGAGAAAAGAAGAAATCGAAGAGACGGAGCCCTCGGCCCCCCCCCACCGCGGCTCCCCACAGCACTCCGCGCCAGGCCCTGCCCCGGCGCCTCCGTGCCACAGGGCCGCGCAGGCAGCGGGGCTCAGCGGGGCGGGTCACGCAGCACCCAGAGCGCAGCCGCGGCACAGGGGGACCCGCACAAGCGAGCCCCGGGCAGCCCCGTCCCCTCTCACCGCCGCTGCCGCCGCCGCGCCTCGGGGGCCTTAAAGAGACGGGCCCGGAACGGGCGGCGCCGAGCACGGAAGCGCCGCGCGGCGGGAAGGGGCGGGGCCTGGGCGGGCCAGAGGGGCGGGGCTTCCCGGCGGTATTTAAAGGCGCAGGCGGCGGCCGCCCCCTCAGAAGCGGTGAGGGAGGTGCGAGTGTGGGTTTGTCGGTGGAGGAGTTGGTTAAAGTTGGGAAAGATCCCTAAGAGTTCTTTAAAGATCCTTAAAGATGATAGAGGACAAGCCTTAAGAGGTGTGGCTGAGGTCAGTTAATTTGTTCAGCTTTGAGAAGATGAGACAGGTCAGACCTTGTTGTACCCCTCAATATTCTCATGAGGGGAAGAGGTGGAGCAGGTTCTGATCCCTTCTGTCTCATCTGTGACAAGGCTTGAGGAAATGGCTGGAGCTGAGTCAGGGGAGGTTTATGTTGGATATCAGGGAAAGTTTTTTTACCCAGGGCATGGTGGAGCACTGGAACGGGCTCCTTGGTGCAGTGGTTATGGCACCAAACCTGACAGAGCTCAAGAACTCTGATATGTGGTGGGATTCTGGAACGTTCTGTGTGCTGTCAGGAGTCAGACTCGATGTTCCTGATGAGTCCCTTCCAACTGAGGATATTCTGATGTTTTGATTGTCAAGGCCGACTGTGTATCCAGCACTGCCACCATAACCCCAAACCACCCAGCACCCGATCCAGACTTTTCCAGGGATGGTAACCCCACCATGGCAACCTACTCCCATGCCTGACCACCCAAACAGTGAAAACACTTTACTAATATCTAATCTAAATCTCTCATCTCAGTTTAAAGGTGTTTTTCTTGTCTTCTCACTGCAAGTAGAACAGACTAACCCCAGCTCACCACAACCTCCCCTCGGGTGATTTTGGGGAGGGATGAGGTTCCTCCCTGAGCCTTCTCCTCCAAACAAATGCAGGCTGTGGGTGCTGAGGGACCCCTTTACATGGAATTTTGGGGATGGAGCTGACTCTCAGTGCAGCCCCTTTGAGGTTTCTGCACATCAGCACACTGTGCTCTTCCCCCTGCTGATAAGTGATGGACGTGAGACAAATCTTGAAGGTTTCCCATATAAATCTGGAATAATTATAGTAGATATGGAGTGAGAGCTGGCCTGTCCTTGCTATCCCTAACCTGGATATATATCCATAACCTGGCAGATACTCAGTTTCTATAAATCTCTGTATAAAATGGAGGGTTAGCAAAAAAACCCCAAAGCACTTAGAAACTGAATAACGGCAGAATTATTGGGCTTTGAGGTAATGTGCTCCTGGTCTTTCCCTGTGACATCAGGCTGAGGCCATCTCTTTTTTTATTTAAATGTGCTCACTTACCCCTTTTTGCTGGTATTTTGGCTGCTGCCCAGTTTAGAGCCTTGTTCTCTTTTTGGTGTGTGGGTGTCCCATCATCTCTCACGGCAGGAAGAGGACAGGTAGGGAATTATATTTAATTAACAGCACAACTCCAGGCAGTTTCCCTTCTTAAGGTGGCTGATATGGGCAGAACAGGAGACACTGTTGAAATAATTTGATCAGATACCATCCAAGGAATCATTTGGAATTTCATTATCCATTTTTACATCTATCCAAGCCAAAACTCGTGGGTTTCTCTTATTTTAGTGCCTGGTTGTTTGAATTACAGAGCAGGGAAGTGGGGAGGAGCCCTGGTGCAGGCAGGAAATGGTTAAAGAGTTCCTATCACCTGGGAAAGCAATCCTTTGATTTTTCAGAGGGCGCTAACATGCTGCAGTTCATGGAAACAAAGGGAAGGGGATCAAGTAGAAAAGTTGTTCTTGGATTTTATTCTCAGTGGCAAAACTTCTGAGGGCTGGATATTGATGTCTGCGGGGAAAATACGGAGTTTTTGGATTAAAAGGGATTTTTTTCCCCTTCTTACCGTCATTCAAAATAGGATCTGTGAGGTAAGTCTGGATCCAACTGGTGACTTTAGATAACTTCTTTTAAGAGTGAGGAGTAAAAAACCCCTTTATCTTGCTGACCCATTTTAAAACAGTGAATTCTTTGCTGAAATTGTTCCTCGGGCAGGGAGCAGAGGCAGCAGCGTGAGTCAACAACTGCACAGAGCCCACGATGCTCGCCTGTGTTGTCTGCATTCAAATGGCTTGCATTAATTCCTGAGCTGGAGTATGGAAATTCGGGAACTGGGAGAAACGTAATGACTCAGGGGAATCTGCCACTCGGAGTTGCAGTAAATATTTCAGCGCTGCCACTCTTTCAGGCTGTAGTAGTGGCTGTGCTAATGTGCTTTTGCAGTGGGGTGCTTCAAGCATCTTCTGGTGGTGGCTCTTAAAGTAATTCCCAGTTCTTGTCTCTTGAATCCTCGTTGCTGTCCCAAAGGTTTTGTGTTTCCAGCTCCTGTAAGGACCATGCTGATCCTTTCAAGGCTGATTCATGATGAGGTTGTAAGAGGGGTCTCCATTGCCATTAATTCTTTGCCTGTCTGTACCTGAGTTCTCACCTTAAAAAGTGCTACTGGACTTTGTGTGTGTGTGTAAAAACATATGATTTTCCACCCCAGTGTGGCTGCCCCAAGGGTGATGGATGGTGATGACTGTCACTGAGAGCCAGTGTCACCTGAAGGGAAGTTTTTACACCCCGTGGAGAGCCCTACAAAACGCACCCATTCCCCTTGGAGCCGCTTCACTGAGCATAAATCGCACTCTCGGGCACCTTGAGAGATTTGCCTCCAAGGTGCTGAGTTCTGGTGGATTTCTCGAGCTTGGTGAGTGTGTGGTGATGCAGGTTTCACTTTTCCCTCTCTGACTGCCTGTGAGTGAGTGCTGTGAGCTGTGTGGGTGCCTCCCCACGTGGATCTGAGTGCAGGGCTGTGCTGTGACACATCAGCACCGCTGCTGCCACAGCCACCTGGCCGGTTCTTCCTGCTCTTCCCACTGCACCCCACGCTTTGCTCCTGCTTCCTCACTGTCCAGGAGGGAGAGCAATCAAACCCAGAGCTGCTGGATGTCCCTCCTTTCATCCTGGGCACCAACAGAGACTTGGGGCTCTTTTGTTCCTTGCCATTTTGTTCCCTATCGCTGCCTTGCTGTTCCCCTCGCCACACCAAGCTTTTATCACTCATCTCCCTGTGCTTGTTCCCAGCTCCTGAACTCTCTGTTCCCAAGTTCTGGCTGAGCAGGAATCTTTCATCACCCTGCCCTATTTTGCATTCATGCTCTGATCCATCACATTTTTTCTCCTTCTGGATCCCTGTGGCACCTGCAGGAATAAATCACTGGAGCTGGGTGTCAGGAGCCTTGGAGCACTTGATTCCCTGTTGTTAGAAGGGATTGCTTTTGCATTTACACAAAAAATTGCAAACTCTTGTCTTTTTTTTTATCTTGTCTTTTTTTCAGCAAGATTCCTCTTATTTGAAAAAAGTTCTTTCTCTAAAATCTTCTCTGCTAAGTGCTCTTGCTTCTGTTGTCAGGATCTGACATTCATTTCAGCTATTCAGTGTGAAAACCCTTTCCAATTTCTTTACCAGTGCTATTGATTAAAATGCAGTTTACTTTTCTGGGGAAAATTTGATATTCAAAAATGTCTTTTTGCTGTGACTCAGAATGTACTTTTCCATGGAATAAAAATTTTGGAAAGAACAAAAAAAATGCTATTGGAAATGTTGAACAAATTATATTGTCGTTTCAACCTGGTTATATAAGAAAAAAGAAATGACTTCAAAGTCCAAGTGAAAAGCTCTGGTATTTTCCTCATATTTTGAGAAAATGAGTACATTTTTCTCCAGCTGCTCAATTTTATCTGTTCAGAATTTTCCATATGAAACTCTGAGAATGTTCTGTACTGGCCCTAACTCCAAGTTCCTGTTTAACTCAGCTGGCTGTTTCAGGTTACATATTAAATATGAATTATTTTCTCCTTAGTTTTCAGCCATTAATGTTTCTTCTAAAAACTAATACAACTATTTCCATTTTTGTGTAGAAGTCTGTAGTTCTCAGGCTATAAATGCTGTATGATACAATTATTTACAGTTTTGAAAAAAATTGATGGAAAAGATCTTTGGAATGCAACAGGTTAAAATTTAATTTTGCAGATTAGAGATCAAAAAATGTCTGTGGTAATTTCCTGCTGGTGTGGATGCCCTCACATGATGCTCTCCCTGTCAATATTGCTGTGGTCATTTTGGGGATTTTCAATATTCCCTTTTTCCTTAATTCTTTGCTGTGCTAAGTAGAAAAGACCTGAGCTCTGCTCAGCTGGGTGCACTGAGCTGCCTAAATTATAGAAGAAAGTTTGTGGCAAGATCAGGTTTTCACTGTAAAATGTAATCCCTGAGGAGAAAGGTGCCCTGGAGTGATGGGATTTGGGCTCTGGGTGTGCTGCTCTTGCATTTCACTGGTTTTGGGTGGTGTGGCTCTCCTGGGCTGGTGGTGGCCACTGCCAGGAGGGACCAGCACTGGGGGAGTCCTTTGAGGGTTTGGGTGCCTCCAGTCTCCAGGACAATGCTGTCACATTGTTTTGGGGGGAAGTGCAGAAAGAGAAATGCCACTCTGTGCTTTTCCAGCACAGTAATGTCCTGATTACTGAATTTTCCTCAGTCTGCACCTTCATGAAGCCCATTATCCCTTGTCCTGAAGAGCAGCCATTACCATGTCTCACCACTCGTCCTTTCTCTTTCCAGCCTGTGCTTTCATCTCACCACAGGTGATTTTCTAGCCCTTGGACCTCTCCTTTGGACTCCAATTGTCTTCCCAGCTCCAGAAGTGGTGCCCTAAACTCAAACAAGACTTCAGCAGAAGCTCCACCAGAGGCAGCTGGAGGGAGAGGACTCCCCAACTCCCCAGTGGTGTCAGAAGGATGAATTTCCTCCTGAGCTCCTCTTCCCCGCTCTGAGTTGTCTCCATCACTTGTTCTCAGCTCTGCCTCTGATATCCCTATGATTTGGTAACTATTTTATCTCTTCTTCCCTGCCTCAACTTCCCTATAATCTGTAAAGAAAATATTCCATATCTGTTTCACCTCCTATTTAACCCCTCAAAATTTGTGGGGGGGTGGCACAAACAAAGTAAGTGGAAAAATCAATACATTTGCAAGCCAATTTAGAGCTCAGCAGAAAAAAAAAAAAGGAGCAAAATATTTTATGAAATCCTGGAAGGTGCAAGCAAATGGAAATTTTCAGTTTAAACTAGAGCTTTATTTTGGAATTCCTCAAGGGGAGATTGGAATTCTGCCACACTGTAATAGTCTTGTATTGCAGGAAACCAGGAATGCCTCAGTCTCTTGCCCTGTACAGTTCACAGATTCTCACTACATTATACAAGTTTGACCTGTTAATTTTGTAAAGTAAAAAGAAGCAAAAACCTTTACAGGCTGATTTCCTGTGCTCAGAAAGAAATGCCTGAGAACTGCCTGGAGCAGATTCACACCATCATTTAACTCCAGCTTTCAATATTTGCTTTCCACAAGATTCTTGTGCCTGTGGAAGCAGCATCTCCTCAATTTTTTGGGTGGCATGGAGGTGATTACATTTAGAATAGAAGATTGCTGATGGAATTTTCCGTTAGCTTCTGCAAAATTAAATTAATTTCACGAGACTTCACTGGGAAAATTCCTGTTCTAAATTACTTTTATCATTGTGAGTGAATAGCACAAGAGAATGTGGTAAATTCAGCTGAATTTCAATGCATGTATTCTTGGCATTTGTATAATTTCAGGGAGTTAAAACCTCATGTTATAAAGAAATCCAAGTTTAGTTGCTGAAGGAGCCATAACTGATGGGAAAGGACTGTGTTGGATTTGATAGAATAAAGTTTAGCTGCATTTTCTGGTGTTCTACTGAGTGGAGATGCTGCAGAGACCCTTGAGAAAGAGAATTTTGTTTGTGATAGGCAAAATCTGAGAAAAGACAGCAATAACATTTTCTGAGCAACTTCCTTTAAGGAGCAAACTAATTTAAAAGGTTTTTTTTTCCAACATCCTTATTAGCCATAAAAAATGCATCTCTAACGGTGAATTTATTCTGCATGTTTGGACTCATCCAACTTTGGAATCTAACCAAGAAAATGCTGCTGAATTTCCATCCCTCAATGTTTGATTTCAGGTGTGGCTGCCCTCATCAGCTGAAAAATATGTCCATCCGAGGCCTGAAGAAGAAACAACCAAAGACTTTCAAAGTCAGGATTATAACAGTGGATGCTGAGATGGAGTTCAGCTGTGAGGTGAGAGTGCCAGCAGGTGCTGGGGAGCTGGGGAGTGCCCTTTGTGTTAGCAAGAAATGGGAAAAATTCAGATTATCAGCTTGTGGATGGTCATAAAACTGATCTGTTATTTTTATAAATAATGGATTATTTAATTGCAGGTGTGTTTTTCTCTTAACTCTGTTCAGAATTTAAAGCTGTTTGCATGAAATCCATTTGACTGGAACAGCTAAATTAATACTAAAACTGCTTTCTTAATTCCAATTGTTTGTAAGGATCCTATTTCTCCATGAAATTTTTTTTTTTTTTTGGAACTGACACAGCTCTTTAAGACACTTCCAGCTTGGATAAACTGGTCAGAGCTGGTGCTAAGATGTTGATAAAATAATTTATAAACTGGTACTTTTGTTGAGCTGGGACATTCTCTATCAATTTGCCATTTATAAACTCCAGTTCTTTACCTGCAGTGGATGTTTGGATCTCTGGGCAGAAGAGAAAAAAGGATTGATGAAAGAGCTGGCAGTTCTATTAATTATGGCTGATAAATTAATTAGGGAAATCATGGCTGGGGAAAAATAAATGATCGATTGCTAAATAAATTGGGCTGCACTATTGAAAGGATAGAACTGTCCCTGATTAATTAATTCCTAATCATCCAGCAAAAGCAAAACAAGACACACAAGTATTTTGGGGAGTTAGAAAACTCAGTTCCAGTGGGACTGGCAGTTTTAGTGAGACCTGACTGCTCTGTGAGCCATTTAATGTAATTTATTAGGTTAGAAACAGGATAGATTAATCTTGTATGACTTACTGCTCTGGAGTACTTGCAGGCAGAATTGTGGAAATAAAGGATTTGGAAAATCTGATTTAGAGATCAGAGTCCTTGTTAACAAATAGTGTATTCCTTCCTTTGCTACCTCTCCTTTCTCCCCAGACACTGCTCTTTTGCTGGATGATTTTCAGCTTTCCACTCCAATACTGCCTAAAAGTTCATTTTTTTTTTCTTTTTGCCACTCAGTTTTTAGTTTTAACAATCAGATAAAATCATCTTGCTGTGAAATGTGGTGAAACAGATGAGCAGCCTCTTTGGTGAAGAGAGCAAGGCATCAGACGTGTGTGAATTTGGGACCTTGAATCAAAGTTTGCTCTCTGTGGCTGCTAAATTGAAATGAAAGCATTTAAGAAGACTCATTTAAATCAGAGTAGGATAAAGGCTTGGCCTGGTGCCACTGAAATACCTGAGGGGTGTGAAAGGTGTTCTCATTGTTCAGCATTCCTACCCCGTGTCCTGATTTGATTTCCCCTGGCTTTCTCTCAGTCTCTCCAATTTGTATAAACCATTGAGTCAAAATTTTGGACAAATATTAATAAAGACTTGCCACATCCCACGGAATCAATAATACAATCCTCATTCCCTCAAGTGCTTGGTGGTTAAATGCCTCCAGCTGCTCTCTGGATGTGTCTGGAGAGGGAGAGGAGGTGGAACACAGCAACTCTGACAGCAGCAAGAATATTTCATTAAAAACCTAAAGGTGAAATAAGATTTCATAGGAGGAAGGGCTCGAATGGAGCAAATTCATTTAGGATATACATGTTTTTCTTGATTTTTCTCTCTCTCAGATGAAGTGGAAGGGAAAGGATTTGTTTGATCTGGTGTGCCGAGCCCTTGGTTTAAGGGAGACCTGGTTCTTTGGCTTGCAGTACACAATTAAAGGAATGTGCACCTGGTTAAAGATGGACAAAAAGGTACAGGAGACAGAATGGGTGGCAATTAATTATTTACTTCTATAAATATTGACTTTCTGGAGCACGAGAGCTAAAGGGATGTGTTCCATGACAACTCAGAATTTGACATGGTAGCTTTTCTTAAGGTGAAAATAGGATTATTTGCTCTGATTGCTTCTATCCCATTTGACCTGCAGCCTCCCACACTAATCACCACTGATTGCTGTTAGATTAAAGATCAGAATTACCCTTCCCTCTAAAATATGGGAAGGCTTTAAGTGGATTATTGGCTGCTTTCTGATTTTCCTTAGGAATATTATCTTGAGACACTCATGAATCCTTTTTGCTGCTGATTTGATTTTATTTTATCTGTAAACAGGTTTTGGATCAAGAAATCCCCAAAGAAGATCCCATTAGCTTTCATTTTTTGGCTAAATTCTACCCAGAGAAGGTAGAAGAGGAACTCTTACAGGAAATTACCCAGCATTTATTCTTCCTTCAGGTCAGGAACCGTTTTGAACCATGAATTCCTTCTGTATTTTCCCCAGTCCTTTCGCATTGTCTTTGATCTTGTTGGCAGCTCAGGATAATTTTGCTTGCTTCAGCTGTATCAAGACCTTTGTAGACATTGTTTTTATGAAATACAAACATCTCTCCTGCCTCCTGTGGGTTTGTGTCCAGGTGAGCTGAATGTTTGATCTTCTGCAGGTTTTTGTGACAACACCCAGCAGTTTGGGGGATAATTCCAAACCTGAATATTCCAGGCTTGTTTTGCTCCTTAATATGTGTTAAAAAAATTAAAATTCCATGCAAAGCTGGAACTGCTGGAAGAACTGTGAGGCTTTTGGAGAGATTTTGTGCTGGAGAGCAAAACCTCCAGAAAACAAGGACTCCCTAAACCTTCATTTTGGATTGTAGGGACAAAAGATCATGGAATTTGATAGGCATTCTGAAATCCAGGTTTGTTCACATGGCAAGGCTTGAGAGGAGCAGAGCAGCAGACACCATTTGAGCTCCATCAAAAAGGAGATGAAGGAGCAAATTCTTGGAGCTTTATCAAAAATAAAGATGGATGAACCAGGAAAAGCTCCACAGATGAGTTTGGCATGGTCAATTCCCATGTCTGGGGCATCCAGCTTCTCTCCTGAGTTGCTCTGGAGTCCCTCTGGAAGTTTCAGCCCCTGGAGTGTTGCTTTATTCCAGCAGGATGAGTCTGTGCAGGTAGCTGGGATAAATTCAGTCTGCAGCTGGAAATAAACCCAGTAAATTCCCTTGTTCCTTGAGGAGGATGTGCTAATGAAATACTGGGGAAATGCTGCAGCTCTGAGGGTTCATAAACCCACCAGAACTTCATCCAGAACCTTCAACCACTTGGCACATTATTTCTTGAGCTAATTTTGGAAAGGAATGAGGACAGCAGAACTCTTTTCCTACTCTTTTAATCCTGATTTTTCCTTTTTTTTTTTTTTCTTTTCTGCTTGAACCTGCCTTAACTAGCAGGTATGCAATTAGCAAATTCTTCTCATTCCAAAGTAGGCAAACAAGGCTGAAACAAATTGGAACTTGCAAAGTTTCCTGACTGTAAGAACTTCAGCTCACACCTGGATGCTAATAGGAAAAACATGTTCAGACATCTGGATGCCTAAATATTTCAGCTCTCCTGACTCTTCAGACCTTTGCAAATTAATGTGGCATAAATGCCTGAATAAATGTCAATGACTAAAGCTAAATATTGGCTGCTTAAAGATGAGGTAATTTATTGCTTCTTCATGAAGTTTCACAAAAAATCCTTGTAAAAACTGATCAGGAAAAAAACAAACAAACAAACCAACCCAGACACTTATGGGAGATTTATCCACATTGTTCTAAATTCTGGACTATGATTTGCACTGTGGAGAATGAAAGCTGGAGCTTTCCAAATTGGAAGAAAATATTTCCATTCTTTCCATTTTAACAGCTTAGAAAGAATGTTCCCTGCACTGTAACTCAGCTTCACAGATTGTGCTCACCAGGGACTAAATTTAAAAGCAAAAACTTTCTTGGTGGTTCATTTCAGTTTCCAGCACCTACAGAGGTGTGTTTGTGAACAGAACTTGTGCTAGCTCAAGTCATTTTTCTATTTGGAAGTGTTTAAGACTGTGAACTATGCAAAATTTTGTTGTCTTGTGCTTGTTCCTAAGCTAAATACCCCTGAGAGGAGGATTTGGGAAGATTAATTTCCCCTTCCCTCTTTAGGTTTTCAAACAGAAATTGCACAACTGATTTAAAATCAAACAACACCTTGCAAGCTATAACACCTCTGCTCTTGGTAGCACCACAGGTTATTAAAATGAAAATAATGTTGAAAGACTCTTTAGCATTGTCTGATTGTGCTTAGACCACTGAAAATGAATAAATGAAGTGCTTTATTATTCAGCTTCTCTTTTGAGAGTCTCCTTTATTCTCTCATTCTGGAAAGCTGGAGAACATTTCTTATGATTTTTATATGCCAGCTGCACAGCTCTGAGTCTGCTCTGCTTGGACCTGACCTCCAGAGCTCCCTCCCAAGCTAAAATCTGATGTCTGATGTGATGCAAAGCTGACTTTTCCAAAGGCAGGAAAAAGAAAAAAGGATTGTTAAAAAAAATGAAGCGCAGACAATAAAATTGATGTTTTATAGGATTTTCTTTTCTTGGACTCCTTATGTAAGTGTGTGGAGAGAGCTGACTGGCATTTTTGGTCTCATTAAATGCACTGCTAACTAAAGGCTTCCTGTGTTCCTGAATGCCAATTTCTTGTTGCTGTTATTAACTCCTAAAGGTGATATTTGGTGCCAAGTTCTAGTGTGGGCATGTCTGCTTTCATTTCAAGCCTGACTTAAGTCCTGACTTTGAGCTTCTTGAACTTGCTCCCTTTTTCTGTTGGTTTAGGTTAAGAAGCAGATCCTGGATGAGGAAATCTATTGCTCACCAGAAGCTACAGTTTTACTGGCTTCTTATGCTGTTCAGGCCAAGGTTTGTGCATAGAAAATCTCTTTTTTAATTGACTTTTTTCTGGTTTAACCCAACACATCTACATGGTGGTGTGTAAAACACAGCAGAGTTAAAATTTGCTGGTAAAGTTGGTCATCCTTGGAGGTACAAGCACAACTAGGAAAAAAAAAACATTAAATGCCACTACAAGGATTTTTTTCTATGCTTCTGCAATTTAAGGGATTTATTTGGGCCTAACATTTTAGTGTAATCTTTCTGGAAGGATCTTCCATGGACTGCTCAGATGAGGGGATGTGTGCAGGGGAACCAAAATAAAATCTGCCTTAAGCTTTTACTTCAAACTGTGCAAGGAACAGCTCCCTCTGCATTCTACCTCTAACAAACTGAAATAACTCTTTTTTTTTTGGGACAGTATGGTGACTACGACCCAAATTTCCACGAGCCAGGCTTTCTAGCCCATGATGAGCTGTTGCCCAAAAGGGTGAGTCTTATTTGATACAAAATCAAATCTTTGAATCTCCTTTTTGCAGTACAAAATCTTTGAATCTTCTTTTTGCAGTGCAAAATCTTTCAGTCTCTTTTTTGCAGTGCAGATATTGCTGGGGATTAATCAGAGCATTAAAAACTCTGCAAAATGCCCAAGCTGTGAGCTGCACCTCTGCATTCACTTTGCTTGGGAGAGGCAGAACTTGGATTTGGATCTTCCTAGGGATCCAACCTCCCTCCTTCTCCTGCAGGTGCTCAGGCAGTACCAGCTGACAGCAGAGATGTGGGAAGAGAAGATCACTGCTTGGTATGCTGAGCACAGGGGTATTGCCAGGTAGGAAATCTTTGTATTTCCTGGAAACCCCATACATTTATTTATGGGATTTGTTGTTTTCAGTGTAATTCAGCCTGTCTGGAAAGCTAATTAAACAGTAAATAGGATCTGTTAGCACCCAGAGGCAGCTTTTCCTAATATTTGGGTTCTGTTTATTTCTGTTCTGGAGGCTTCTTAGCATTATTTTTATTGAATATTTTCCTAAAGATTTACTGATTTACTTTGAAGGGAGAAGAAAAGTAGGTGGAGAGATTCTCCCTCTTCTTTGGCCATGGCCAAGAGCTCTGTCCAATACTCATTTCTCAATGAACTCTATTTCCTGAAGGAAATACATTCATGGAAAACAATGGAAGGGTGGTTTTCCAAGACATGGAGTGGCAAAACTAACACAGGGATAAGACTTTTAATGAATTTTAATGAAGATTACACTATCCATGAGTCATCTTTTGAAATAGGTGCAACTTCTATTCTTTGTTATTCTTTATTTTATTCTTTATTCTGTCCAGATGCTGTTTTTATTATCCTTTTTTTTTCTATTATTGAGAGCAAGATGGCAAAACTAAGTTTGTACAAAGGGTCAGATTGCCTCTTCTTTTCTAAATGGGAAATGGAGTCAGCCAGGAGAGAAAGGCTGGAAGGGCATTTCATAATCATGGCTTTATTCTCCAGGGATGAAGCTGAGATGAACTATCTGAAAATTGCCCAAGACTTGGAAATGTATGGTGTCAATTATTTCCCAATTGCTGTAAGTGCCTTATTTTAGCAGTTTTTACTTGCTGCAGGTGATGGTGCTGTCCTTTTAAAATGCTCCAGGGAGTTTGGAACTGGGACTCCTGACTTCTGGTTTTGTTCTGACTTGGTTTTCTTGCCTGCTAAATAAGCAGGTGAATAAAACAGTTAGGATTAATATTTTACTACCTGACAAAAGTTTTGAGTAACTCCAGGTATGGAATAGGAAGGAGAAATAGTTTGAGTTGCTATAAGCAGCCTAGAGGACTGAGTTTATTATTACCAGTGACAGCATCCATAATGTTTTATATAAACACCAACTGCCTAAAATACTTACAAATATCAATATATTAAAATAGATGCATCTCCTCTATGGTTGTTTAATGTCATCAAAAATGCCGTTTACTGATCTCTCTTGTTTTTTAGCAAAATAAAAACCACACAGATCTCCTGCTTGGAGTTGATGCCAAAGGTATTCATATCTACAGCATTAATAACAGGTTCTCCCCCAATAAATCCTTTGAGTGGAGCTCTATCAGAAACATTTCCTGTAGTGAGAAAGAGGTATGATGGCTTTGATGTATTATTCTTTTTCCACGGGCATGGGTGTGGACTGGGATTCTTGGAACAGGCTGAAAGCTTGCTCTGTTGAAATAATTTGGGGGAGAAGGGGAAAATCCTGGGGAGCTTTGTTACAAAACTAAAAATAACAGCCCTGCCTTGCAGATGAGCTCGAAACCTTGGTTCCCCGAGGCTGCTCTGAGCTCTGACTCTGTGCTGGCTCCTTCCCTGCTGCTTGGCCTTTGCAAAACAAATGTGTTGATCTCTGAAAAAGACAGATATTATGAATGCCACCGTGCCTGCCTTGCTCAGTTATCCCAGCAGGAATTCCATGATCCATAAAACCTAAATGCTGTTTGCGCACACAGAAGTCCTTGCAGCTGAGCCTTGGAGCCCAGTGGCAAGAGGAGACATGCAGGGAGGGATTAATGGTTTTCTGCCAGTTTGTTGGGACATGATTTCACTCCCCACCACTGCAATTTCACTGTGAAGCCCAGCTTTTGCTTCTAGAAAAGGAAGGAGTGGGGAAAATTTATTCTCAGTCCAAATCATGGGCTGTGTGGAAGGCTGTAATCAGAAAAAACAAACCCAGGGAAACTGCAGTGGTACTGGAATACCTGGAATTTGTCAGCCAAAGGGCAGCACAGCCTGTTCCATTTTCTGTGGGACTTTTGGAAAACAGCCCACAGAAACTGAGATCAAAAATTGAGATGAGATTTTAGATTCATATCCATTAAATCAGAGGGGACTACAGGTTTGCTGCCTCCAAAACAATTTTGGTCTCTGATATCATCAAACTTCGTCTGAGATGTGTGAATAAACTGCTTTAACTCCCTTTTGGGGAAATTGGGCAGCCCTATGTTTAAGGTTCACTTTATTCAGTGACACATCACAGCCTTGCTCCTCAAAAGGCAGCCAGTCATTACCTAGAGGGTGAAAGGAGCTCTAGGACATGATCCTGGACATGACTCAGATGCCCTGGAATTATACAGGAATTACCTTGCAGATGAATTAGAGGAACAGAGTGCCAGGGAACCCATGAGGAACAGAAAACATGGCCTTAAAAAAAAAAAAAGTCCATATTTTGTTCTGCAGCCAAACAGAGCACAAGGTATGGAGTGGAGCACTGAGCTGGCAGCAGGACAACCCTGCCTGGCCTCTGGGAACAGCTTGGGACTGAGACAGTGAGGAAGTCTCCAGGACTTTGACCTGCTGCTCTGAGGAACAAGTCCTTAGGCCCTTGGCACATTTGTTTATCCCTTCAATTGTTGCTGTTCTGAGAGGTGTTTGACATTTCCCTAGCTTTAAGGCCATGCCTGCTTCTAGGAGTTGCTGCTGTGTCCTGTTCTCCTGATACCCAGGGCTTGTTCCAGAGCTCTGGGGACAGTGCACAGCTGGCACCAGGAAAACCCCCATCTACACTGCCACTGGGCTGGGCCTGGGATTTATCCTGCAACACAGCTTGATTCTATGAACAAAAACAGTTTTACATTACCCTGTCCCTATCTGTGGCATAAATCACTGCTTCCCCAGAGAGAAGTGGAGATGAGCTCAAGTTTGCATTGGTTTTGATAGTTTCAACTTACTTTCCTCCTCATTGTGCTTACTTTCTTTTTTTTTTTTTTCCTTTTTCTTGTGTAGTTAACTATTAAACCCCTTGACAAAAAAGCAGAAGTCTTCAAGTTCTTCTCCTCTCAGCTCAAAGTGAACAAACTGGTGAGTGAGCTGCTTTCCTGCTTTAAAGCTGAGCCTGGTGATACTGACGGAGAAATATTGTTTGTAAACAAAAGGGTGATATTGGGATCTCAGCCTAGATCAGCCTGTGTAATTCAGGAAAATGGGATCAGAGGGAGATGAAGGACAGAAGGAATCTCTCATCCTGTTACAAATTTACCTGAGCTGTTGTGTGCCTGGCTGTGAGCCTGCCCTGGGTTCTGATTTTCTTGGAGCTGCCAGCACTTGTGCTGAAGTCAGAATTGTCCTGTGAGACCAGTGTGGGCCTCTTTGTCCCTCTGGCAGGGGCACAAATGCATCAAAACCCCATTTTCTGTGCCTTTCCTATCCAGATTTTCCAGTTGTGCATTGGAAACCACGACCTATTTATGAGGAGGAGAAAAGTGGACTCCATAGAGATCCAGCAAATGAAAGCACAAGCCAGGGAAGAAAAAGCTAGAAAAAAGGTAGATTTTTCCTGCTCCTTTGTTGTTGAAGACAGTGATTATTACTGCAGCTCTGCCCTTGCTGCTCCTGTATTCCATCAATGTGTGTGTGGGAGGTGAGGAAGTGCAGCAGGATTGAATGTGGGAACATCTCTGGCATCTGAGGAGGTCAGAGGTGTTTGTGTGGAGAGATGATCCCAAAGATTTGGGGCACAAACCAGATCAATCCAAGGGCTCTCACAGGAGCCTGAAATAACCAGGAGTGTCTGCCTGAGGAGTTCACTGCTGCAAAGCTCAGGCAGCTCCAGCACCTCTGGGTGAGCTGGAGGGCAGCCCCTTCTTCATTTGATGCATTTCACCCAGGCCCAGGTGAGGTTCTGCTGCAATCCCACCAATATTGCTCATCCTGCTTCCAGATGGAGAACCAGAGGCTGGCCAGGGAGAAGCAGCTCCGAGAAGAAGCTGAGAGAGCCAAAGAAGAGCTGGAAAGGCGCCTTTTCCAGCTGGAAGATGAAGCCAGGCAGGCCAACGAGGCCCTGGTGAGTTACATTGAATATTCTTGTGCTTGATGGGCTTTCTTAGTTTGGAAACAGGATTTTTTTGACACCAGGAATGGTAGCTCAGACAAGGCTGGAGAGTTTCTGATCACTGGTGGAAAGGGCATGCAGGAATCCCTGGAAAACCCTGATCTGCCATAATCTGTGAGCCGTTCCCTCCCTGTATTTGGCTCACAGGGCTCTCTTCAGGCTAAGAGTGGGGCATAGGAAACAGTCTTGGAGCTGAAACTGGGAGAAAGAGGCAGCTGAAGGGGCTGGCTTCAGCTTTGTCCAGCTCCAAGATTTTTCTCCTTCCTTTGCAGAGGTGAGACACAGGAAATTCTGGAGCAGAGGAGGAACATTAGATCCTTAAATTGTTGGGTTTTTATTTAAGAAATAATATTTTATCACTTAGTGAAAGATGTCGCCTGCCTGCCTGCCTGCAGGGGTGATTTTGGAAGCTCTAGATAAGGAGAAAAATAAAGAAAAATTCTTTCTCCTCAGCTCCGATCCCAGGAAGCAGCAGAGCTGCTGGCTGAGAAAGCCCAGATTGCAGAAGAAGAGGCCAAGCTGCTGGCCCAGAACGCTGCAGAGGCCGAGCAGGAGCGCCAGAGGCTGGAGATCACAGCTCTGAAAAGCAAGGAGGAGAAGCGGCTGATGGAGCAGAAGATGCGGGAGGCGGAGCTGATCGCCGTGAAGCTGGTGAAGGAGTCTGACAGGAGGTGGGGTTTGCTTCCCCGGCTCTGTGTGCTCTCAGCTGGGCTGCAGGGAGTGCTGCTTTCCTCAGAGCCCAGCCCAGGAGGGAGGAATTATTTCTGAAGTGACACTGCAGAGGGACTAAGCCTCCTTGTGCCTTGTTTGTTCCACCTGGGTACTGCTGTTGTATTGCAGGTCAAGCTTACAGAGGATCAGATGCAAAGCTTGTTTAGCAAGAAAGAGAATGTTTGGCAAGAAAGAGATGTTTACCAAGAAAGATCCAGAATGCAGAAGCATCTTCTGTTTAGTGTTATCAAATGAGCACTGGCTACCTATCTAAATTTACTCTTTATAGCCTGTGAGATATGAGGCTGTTTTCATTCATTAGTACCAAGTGAATGGTCTCTTGTTTTCCTTTCAGGTCTTTAAGAAGTGTAAAACCAGGTAAACTCATGTGGAATATAAACAACTCTGAGTGTTTGCATGTTCCCTGAACATGCAGAGCAGGCCAGTGTTGACAGAGGATTTTTAACCCTGTTCTTAAGAAATCCTTCTACTTGTTTTAGGATGCTGCCAAGAAACTTGCCAAAATAAAGAGCAACCTCTCCCCACCTCAGGGAGGATCTCGTGGCCTGGAGAGAATCTGTATCAGCCAGTTGTAACTGAGCCCATGGAAATTAGGAGTAGGAAAATCATGGTACTTCAGCCACTTTGTGCAGGAGTGTCTCTGTCCTGCTGTGTCCAGTCAGTTCTCCATGTGAGCATCCTCCCATGAGCGCCTTAGTGTAAAGATAACACAGTGGTGGACTTGTTCTCTGGAAGGTAGTGAGCTCTGAAATCCATGTGTTGGTTGGAAACCATCAGCCATTCCCCTCAGGATGTTTCTCTTGCAGAGCCAAGGAAGCAGAGCACCTGAAGCAGGACCTGCACGAAGCCCGGGAGGCCGAACGCAAAGCCAAGCAGAAGCTCTTAGACATAACCAGGCTTAATTATCCTGTAAGTTCTGCTCCACTGGGCACCACTTCATCCTCAGGGATAGTCAGGTATTGATGACATTTTTATAGCCCCCATCAAGCTGAGTAGTGGCATGGCTGCATCCAGCTGGGGGACAAACTGGTGAGGAAAAGCAGTGTAGCGAGGGTGGAAGCTGGGTTTGTTCAGGGTGGTAAGAAAGGCAAGGCAAGAGTTAAAACCAGAACTGATGATGTTCTTAGGGAGCAGAGCCTGTCTTGCCTTCATGCCTAACTCGTGGTGCCATTCAGCCAGGCAGTTTTTGTGGACAGGGTTGTGCTGAGCCAGCTGTGTTATCCTGGCACATCCATCTGTCTTTAGGCAAAGCAGGTGAAGTTGTCTCCAGCAAGAAGACACTGCTGAAGGTCTGTGCCCCAACTCCCTCTTCTGCTCCAGCCCTGCTGAGGCTGGGTTTTCATTCTCTGCTGAAATAGAAACACTGCAGCCAGGATAAATCTCTGCTCTTGGATCTGTGGGTTGTGGACTTCATCTGGGTGCAAGGGAAGGGCTGCAGGAGAATCTGTGTCTCCGAAACTTAGGAAATAGCTCAACATGGCACTCTTGCAGAACTGAGGAGATAAATCCCAAATCAGCCCATCAGATCTGACTGACAGTGCTTGTGTTGCCTCTTCCAGCACATGGCCAAGTACCCCCAGTACTGCCCAGGTGACAACAGAGATGCCAACTTTGACAAGGGATCCATCAAGCTGGATTTGAAGGACATCGACCTCAAGAGACTCTCCTTTGAGATAGAGAGAGAGAGGTATCAGCGTGCTTGTGGTGCAAATTAATAAGGCAATGAAATCTTTGGGAATCACTGTTCATCTTTAAATAATTGGGATGTGCATGTGGCTGGAGGCCTTTTGCTGAGCTGGTGTGGGTGATGTCTGTGTCACACTGGCTTTTCTCACAGGGGAAGGGTTTTTTGGTGGCATCAAGCCATGATAAATCCAGAACCTTCTGTTTTAGGGAGGGACAAAGCACCTTGCTGAACCAACAGCATGTGAGAGGACAGAAGTTTCCCTCTAGTGCTAAAGTGTGGAATTGCTGGGAGCTGATCCATCAGACATCCCTTAGTCTGGGAGGAAATGCTTGGTGAAAAGTTAGGAAGCAGAAAGGAGAGAAGTGAACTCCCTTGTCACTGGGTCAGGGGAGCCAGGCTGGCATTGCCAGAGTTCATTTTACTTATAAAACATAAAATGAAACAAAAGCCAACTCTCCTCCTTCCACAAACACCTGTTCTTGAGTTAAATTGTGCCACCCTAAACCTTTTGCCTCCAATGTGTGCACTCAGGCTGGACTACTTAGAAAACAGCAGGAAATTCGAAGATCGACTGAAAGAACTGAAGTCTGAAATTCATGCTCTGAAACTGGAGGAAAAACAGGCTGGGCTTTACAGTCACTGGAATGAAGTCCTGGGCTCCTTGGATCGCTCCTTAGGAAGTGTAAGAACCCCAAATCCCTACCCCTTTCTCCAGCATGAGCCCCAAAATGGAACAGTGTGTTTGTGTCCCAAAGGGAGCTGCTCTATTCCAGTCCAAGCCTTCACTGCCCTTGATGATAAAATATTAGAATCATGAGCACTTTTAGAGGAAAATTAATGTCAAAACAAAATCTTAAGGCCTTTTTTTCCTGCACTGAATACCAGGAGCATCAGCAAAAAATAATCCTTTCATTTTATGATTATGAAATCAGGGTTTAAGGTCTTGGAGCAAATGAAATTGTTGTGACTAACACATTTAAATGTGGTTTCTTACAGTTTGCTTCACATTCTCATTCATGTGCTTTGTGGTTGCTGAAAGTCATAATAGCCTTGGTGTATTTTTTTTTAAGGCAATGAGGAACTAGACCCAGATTTTTGTCATAAGTTGCTTGTTATTTAAATAAACTCTTTGGCTTCTTCCTGCAGCAGGGCAGGAATAGGGCTGGCTTTGTCTGCAGGTTGTTCCTCATGTAACAAAAATGGCTCTGAGTCAATGGTTTTTTAGAGACAGAAGGGAGGCTTGAAAAATGATGAGGAAAGATGGCCTTTATTTTCTGACTACTCATCTGATGTTCTTTTTGGCTTAATGAGTGTTGATATAGAGAGTGCATTAAATTTCCATGTGCTCTGTTCTTTTAAAGGCCCCATCATGGATGAAAACCTTCGAAACTGGAGATGCCGTGGATGTAAATCTTCAAAGACCTTTCCCTGCTTACTTGTTAAACACTGCAAGCAGCTGGCCCTGCACCAACAAAATTCAGCACATGGTGCCAGTGGAAAAGTCATCTTCCCAAGCCAATTCCTTGGCTGCCAACAGTGTGGGCACAGGAACCAGAAAACAGATTATAAAGGTAATCAGATTCGTAAGTAAATTCCTAAATGTTGCCTAAAAGTTGAGAATTCAGAGAGGGTGACTGCCTGTAGGGACCTGGTTTGTCCTGCTCTGTCCCAGCCTCACAGCTGACAAGGCTTTTGCAGGATTTTGGAGCCCCTGGTGCTGGCACATCATTCAGGAATGTTTATAACTCGAGGCTGCCTGTTTTTTCTCACTTCTGATCTAAGCTGGAGTGCAAAGCTGTAAGCCTTGGTAAATGAAGCAGAGATGTCTGTACACAGTAGGAGGATCTGTGTTAAATTTTATTTGTATCAGCCAGACTTGGAAATGAGAAATGTGCTCCCAGGTATAGAGAGCTTAAAACATACTGTGCCTGTCTTCTGCTTTTAAAAGGCAGGGAGGGAGAGACCAATAAATCCCCAGGATTCCCAACAGCTCAGTTCTCTTCCATGTGCTCCCTGTCAAAGAGGCCTGAAGAGCAATGAGCTGGGTGTCAGGAGAAAAGAAGCTGCTTTGAAATGTCACTGGGCTGGAGAATGAGGAAGAGCTGGAAGGAAATGTGGTCTGGAACAGTGGGAAGGAAATCAGCTGTCTGTAGGCAATGCTAATTGGGCAAGGTATTGGGAATGGGGAAAAACCACAGCAAATCCATCAGGCTTCTGAACGAAACTGGAGGGGTTTAGGGCCAATTGAATATAACATTTCTGACTATAACATTCAATGCCTCCTTCAGGGTTGGTGTGCTTAGAACTAAAGGACACAGCTGAGTGCAGCAGCAGCTGAGGGAGCAGCTCTTTCTGAGGCAACAGAAGCAACTTTTAAGACTAAACTCAGGGGCGAGGCAAATTTGTTTAAAGAAGGAAGAAAAAACTATTGCAGAGCATCTTGCAAAAGGCTCCAGAGTTGGAGGAGAGAAAGACCCAGAGCAAAGGGAGTTACTTTAAGCCAGCACTAATTCTTCCTCTTTGATTTGCCTGCAGGTTCAGCAGCATGACTCAGATGTGATCTACATTTGAAGCCCCTTGTTTCCTTGCCAGCCTGCTGGGACTGGTGGCCTTTTTGCCTCTGTGGGGACACTTGGGCAGCTCTGGCTGCTGCCAGGTGTGACAGACAAGGCATTGTGGATCCAGAGCTGCCATCCAGCTCCCAGGCAAGTGCCATCAGCTGGGAATGCCACAAGTGCCCCCAGTGTGGCTGGGAGCAGTGCAAAGCCAGAGGAAATGTTGTTTACTGCCTGTGCACTTTGGAAGGAACACTTCAGACTTTGCTAAAACCCTTCCTCCCCCAGGTGTTTCACACACTTAGAGCTTTGCTGCTGGAGGAAGGATGTGAGGCAGCAAGTGCCCAGGAGGTGTTTGGGATGAGAAAATAGAACACAAGCTTGGTGTTTATCTCCACAACAGACTAATTATGTTTTTGGTCCAGTCCCTGGGACATGACTCCCACAGAGCTGCTTGACGTTTTAGTGTTTGCCTGCCAAGTATTTTCCTTCTCCTCCCCAAACATTTCTTGGTTCACTTAATTGATTTGCATTTCTCTGTGAGAAATCTCAGCTTTTAATTCCAGATGCAGAAGTGGACATCTTCAAGTACTTCCCATTCCTGGGGGAATCCTTTGTTTGGAATGCAGAGCTTCTGTTCTTCCAGTCCCTGACCAGATCAAGCATTTTCTGCTCGAGCAAACTTTGCATACATTAACTGCCTTCCCACTTCTGTGCAGCACAGCTCCCAAATTAGACAAAGACAAAAGATGCTGTTGGTGTCTGCTAAAGTGGGACTTGTTTCTGGTGGAGAGGTGCATGCAGCTAAGTGCCTGCCTCATTAGTAAAACCCACTTGCATTTTCTGGTTTTGTGTGTGTTCAAGTGTCTGCTTCTCCATAAATCTTCACTCTGAGGACTTCTGGGGAAGCAGACAACATTCAGCTGCAGCAAAAGCAGGAGCCCAGCTGAACATGTGATATAAAAATGAATGGTAATGTTGTTAAATGTCTTGTTCTGAAAACCAAGATTAAAGAAAAAACCAGGTTCAACAAAAAGCTTCAATTTCCTCTTGCTTCGAAAGGAGCGTTGTGTCAATATTCCTCCAGCATTAACAAGGCAGGTTTGGAGAACAAACACCCAAATCTCCTCTGTACACATCTGCAGCAGGCTGAGCACAGAGGGGGATGGCAGCTGCTGTGGAGAGGGCCAGGGGTGCTCTGCAGGGCTGCCCTGACTGCTCCCAGCCCTGGGAGCACTTGCTGCCTTGCCTGGGTGGCTTGGGCTGTGTTCATTCTCTCCCAGCTCAATCTGGCACGAGATGTTTGCAGAGTATTGGCTGTTACACACAATTCCTGAGCTGTCTGCAGGAGCCTGGTGTGTGAGAGGGAGAAGCTGTCAGAAATGCCAGAATGATGAGGCAGATGCTGTCATGGTCCCAAGGCTGGGGAGGGGGCATGGGCCAGGATTTGGGACAGTGAACCATCTCCTGTATTAGCCAGGAAATGCTGCAGCAACTTTGAATGTGGCATTCTCAGATTTGAGGGTGAGGAGAAATACTGGGATTCCCCTGGTTCTTCTTTTCCTGTTCCCTCTTTTTCTGGCATGTGCCTTACCACAGCCAAGGGAGCTTGTGCCCACATCCTTCACACGTGCTGGGCCTTCCTTCTGCTCTTGTGTCTGAGCTGCCCCGTGGAGTAGGGCCCGGAGGAGGAGACCTGCTCCATGTGCACCTTTGATTTATTTCTTTGGACTTAGTCCTGTAAATCCCAGTGAAGAAAAGGCCAAGGTCACACTCCTGCCAGCTCAAATACAAAACCTGCCTTCACATGCTGTTCTCAGCCTGCTGTGTCCTTGCTGGCCATTGCTCCTGTGCAGCACCACGTTCCTGCAGGCTGGGATGGGTGTTTGAGATGGGCCAGGAGGAGCTGGCATCTGCTGTGAACCTTTCAGATGGGTCAGGAGGATCTGGAATCTGCTGTGAGCCTTTCAGATGGGCAGGGAGGAGCTGGGATGTGCTGTGAGGCTTTTAGGTGGAGAAAGAGGAGCTGGGATCTCCTGTGAACATTTTCGATGTGTCAGGAGGATGTAGAATCTTCTGTGAACCTTTCAGATGGGTCAGGAGGATCTGGAATCTGCTGTGAGCCTTTCAGATGGGCAGGGAGGAGCTGGGATGTGCTGTGAGGCTTTTAGGTGGAGAAAGAGGAGCTGGGATCTCCTGTGAATCTTTCAGATGGAGAAAGGGGAGCTGGGGTCTCCTGTGAATCTTTCAGATGGAGAAAGAGGAGCTGGGAACTGCTGTGAACCTTTTTGATGTGTCAGGAGGATCTAGAATCTTCTGTGAATCTTTCAGATGGGTCAGGAGGAGCTGGGATCAGCTGTGAACCTTTTAGATGTCAGAAGGATCTGGAATCTCCTGTGAACATTTCAGATGGGGCAGGAGGAGCTGGGATCAGCTTGAGGAATGCACAGCCACACATGGAGTCAGGTGTGCTGTGCACTCACAGGAGACTGCTGCAAGGAGAAGTGCCAGCAGGGTGTTAATTTGCTTAAAGCCTGAGTAAATATTTGCAGCAATTAAACTCTGTAAGTTGGTGCTTCTGCTGCTCACACTCACCTGCAGTATTGACCGCAAGATCTGAGCCTGTGCTTCAGCTGAGGGAACTCTGAGGAGCCTGAGCCCTGATTTCCCCCAAGAAGAGAAGGCAGAGCCACGTTCTAATCAGTGACTGCAGGATTTGTCACCCTGAGGAGTGAGTGAGGCGTTTCTCAGCTGCCTGCTGAGGAGCTGGGGAGCAGCAGGCAGCAGATGGTGCTGCAATGCTGCTCTGCAGCAGCTTGGGAAGAGCTGGCTGGGAAATCCTTGGGAATCTCTGCCCAGCCCTCTGTTCCCACACCAGCAGGCACTCGCTCCTGTTCTTTTCCCGGAGTTTAACCTGACGTCATTTTTGACAGGCATTCAAAATCTGCAAGCAATGTGCTCTGGACAGGGATTATGGCATGAGCATCTCGGTCCTGTGGGGCTCCCTAAATTGCAAAAAAAAAAAAAAAAATCCCTTAATGCTTCTGACACCTCATTGTCGTTGTCAACCTGTGGAAATGGCCTGGCTGGATTTCACCCCTGACTGCCAGGAGTGTGTGGGACCCCACAGCTCTGGTGCTATGTGATATTTTTATTAATGCTGCTTGAAACAAGTGGGGATTTGTTAAATTTGCAGAGCGTGGAAGAATTGTGGTGTGCAGTGCAAAGAGGGTGAGAGAGGCCTGAGAATGGGCCACAGGGGTCACTGAACAATTTCATCCTTTGTTTTCCTGCTGGAAAGGACACGGTGTTCTGATCTCAAACAGAGAAAAAATGGGAGAAAAAATCCTGCAGCAGTGAGGAGGTGCTGGGAGATCACCTGGAGAGAGGGGAAGTCTGTTCCTAGAGGACACAGTGAGTGGAAGTTGTGTCTTCCCAGCCCTGCTTGCTCTGTTTCTCTGAAAAACCACATGCTCTGACCCCTAGGGCCTCTCCCTTCCCTCAGAAGCCCTTGGATGGGGAACTGTGCAGATGGGAAGCTCCTCAGGGGTGCTCCTGAGCCATGGAGGGCAGCAAATGTTCAATCCTTGGAGACAGCACATCCTCTGCTGGGACTTAACCCTCAAAAACCAGATTATTTTCACCTCCTGGATGATTCAGGGTTGACCTGGCCCTGGCATTTGGGCACCACCACAAATGTGCCTGAGCCCTGAGTAATCCTGACTCTTTCCTGCCCGTGCTGCTGCTCTGGAGCCAGTTACCAGCAGCAGGATGAGTTCACATCTTGCCTGTTGCAGAATCACACCCAGAGCAAATTCCTTCCTCTTTCTCCTTGCAGACATCCCTGTGTCTGGCTTGTTCCTCTGCTTGTGCCCTCTGAGCTGCCAAGGTCTGCTGCCTCTTGTGCCCAAGGTGTTTGCTGGAGGTTGTGTCCTTCCCAGAGCATCCCTGCCACTTGTGCCCCAACCTCAGGAGTGTGCATGGAGCTCCAGACTGGCACCTGTAATTTGTCATTGTCACCTGAGCTCCCAGCCTGCTGCTCTTGGTGATGGGGACACAGTCCTGCTGTGGGGACAGCAAAATCACTTTTTTTTCACTCAGCTCTATGGGCCTCCAAAATCACCTTTTTTCACTCAACTCTATGGGCAAAAGGCAGGCCCAGATGCAAAACCTGGCTGTGTTTTGTTATTTCTGGTTCTCTGCACTGTCTGGACTCTTCCCCACCTTCCTGCAAGGCATTTTTGGGGATAGCAGGGTCAGCTTTTTGGAGGCACACTGGGGAACCCACCCTGGGGCTGCTCTGAGACATTTAGACCAGGGTAAAAAGCAGATTTCACACCAAAAAGCACTTTGAATCAGGAGTGATTCCTCTCCTGGGAGGAGGAGGAGGCTTTGTCATGTGAATTACACCCAGCAGGGTCCAGGCATGGAGGCTGCAGGAAAAAAGTGGCTCTGAAAAGGATGGGAAAGGGCTGATGGTGGCCATTACTCCTGGCTTGGTCCTAAGAGCAAAGCAAAGGTTTCACAGCTGTCCTGCTGGGGAATTCACAGAAGGAAAATTGAGGAGGAAAGCAGGAGTGAGTGTCCAGAGAGACAGCTCTGGCTGGTATTGGGGAGTGGAGGGATGCTGTGGGTGCTGGGATTCACAGATCAGGGGGGATAGAAGTAATTCTCCCTAAAATGTGAGTCAGTCCCACATCCTGTGGTTGAAAAGGAAAGGGATCCAAGCAGACCCCAGGATTAGTCTTGTCCCAGTTAATTCGAAAGAGAAATTCCAGAGAAAGAGGAAGTCGACAGAAAAAGCCTGAAAATTTAAAATAGTGCTATAAAAATCTTTCAACTCAGCAGTGAGGTGGCCCAGGAAGCTCTGAGGGACTTGGTCAGAGATGAGGATGTGGAGGAAACCGAAAGGAGAGAAATAAAGAAATAGAAACCCCTGATGATCCCAGAGGAGATTTGATGCTCTGAAGTGCTGCAGTGATGGTGACACATCCCAAGGCCAGTGAGCTGGGATGGGCACACACAAAGAATGTGGAGAGTGAAAGGTTGGAACCACAAAATTAATCCAGCCCTGGGGAGCAGCAAGGGGTCAGCTTAGGAAATGGGGGTGTCTGCACCAGCAGAGGCTGCCTCAGCTCTGCTCCTTCAGGGCACAGAACGAGGGGTGTTAGAGGTGAGAGTGTCCAAAAAGGATATTCTGGAGGAAATTGGGCAGAAGTGCTGTTATTCTGCTGCTCCAGACTGAAGGGATTAGCTGAGCCAATTTCAGAGTGAGGCAGCTCACACCAAAACCCTCTCCAGGCCTGCAGGGGAATGAGTGAAGCTGGTCCTGGGAAGGACTTTCCTGGTGTGCTGCTGGTTGGACAGCCTTGGAGAACATTGGATTCCACAGCAATGGTGTGGAATTTTAGAGCCCCAGCCTTGGGCTCTGAAAGGCCTCTGGGAATTGGCCCTTGTGAAGACAGGGCAGCTCGCCTGGGAAGGAATCTCAGCTGCAGAACAGCCTGTGGAATGTGCTGGTGGTGATGCTGTCCTACAGAGGCTGGACAGAGTTACAGAATAAAGCAGAGGTTTATGAAAAGGCCTCAATGGATGCACCTTAGGCAGAACAAGAGCTCAGCCAGGGCTGCACCCAAGATGAACTCAAATGGTCCCAAAATGCACGAGCGCTCACGGGGTCTCTCCCTGGGATCAGCTCTGCTCCATGTGCAGATTGGAGTTAATTGACCAATTACAGCTTTAGCTCATGAAGTCCCATCCTTGTTGTTTTTCTCTCTCCAGCCCACGCTGTTTGTGCTCCTGGGCCCGAGATTTGGATCATTTGTCCTTGGTGCCCAGCTGGAGCAGGAATTGTTTTGT